AAAACAAAAATTACTTTATTTCCCGCCTTTTTCATAATTTATTCTATCGGCGAGGATAGAATGTCAAATAAAGTATAAAGGAAGTTTGATTAAATTGATAAATGCAGCAAAATACAAAAAAGTACATAAATTTTATTAGAAATAACCATGAAAATGATGACACAACTACAGGATTATAATGAATGTCTAATTATAAAAGTAATCGAAACACTTTTTCGATACCGTGCAGTATCGACTACTTCCTGTTTGGGCCTGGTATCGGGTGGTATCGATACCAAGTAATCGGTAATCGCCCATCACTAGAATCTCTACCTTGCTTATATCCATATTTATGTTAGCTTGCATTTTATTTGATGTGGTTTTCGTTGGCAACACTAAACCTTGGCTAAATTCTGAAATAAAAAATATCCATTTTTATTTTACATTAATCATTACAAAGTGTAATGATTACACTAGAGGTGAGCTGATGTCTAAAAAAAGCCGATTACCGATACCGATTGTTAACTGTCGATATTTACCCACCATCGGCCAATTAATCGGCAAAACCGATGGTCATCTTAATTTTTTTTACAAATGTATCCTCTCGTCAAAAGACTCAAAACATGCAGAAACAGGAAGCGACATTTTTAACACTGATTCTGAAATCCACAGCGTGCTACTGACTGGTCATTTGAAGGAAGTTACGGAACATGATAATTTAATTAATACATCTTGCAGAAATGCCAGAAAAGTGAGAAAACAACTATGAAAAAACACGGGAAATCGGTAAACATAGTGTTTCCACTTTCGTTTCGATAATTGTTTCTACGCCAAATATTTGAATTTCATTTTTTTATTACACCGCTGACCATACAAATGGTGGAAGACAATCGGCCGATGGCCAATGACAATCGGCCGATGGCTGATTATGAAAAAAACAAGCCGATTAATCGGTTTTGCCGATGTTTTGCCGATGATCGGCTCACCTCCAGATTACACAAAATTTAACAGCCGAACAGGCAACACAACCATAAAGCTTTGGATTGTGAGGGATTCAACTGAAAAACCCTGAAAAATGCAAGTACAATGTTCATGTTTCAAGCAAAGGAGCTTCATCGGGAAGTTAGTTGAAAAATACAAGTAAAGTTTCCCTCTCAGTCCGCCTCTTCCTGGTGTTATTGTCATTGCCTTACCTTCTCTTAATTCTTTAATATATTTTGCAACAGTATCTCTTATTAAAGAGGTGCCATGTTTTATTAATAACTGTTTCAATTTATACGACTCATCATTATCTTTGTTCGTACTAATTTCAATCTGAAAAACAAGGACGATTTTAACAGTAATCCATAATGTAGTTACTACTGTAATTTAATTTGGTAACAGATGAACAAGTTTTCTATGACAAGTTTTTAGATTTTCATTAAAAAAGTTTTTTGACCACAATGATAGCTACTGTATTATTCTCCAATCTAAGTTCGTGCTATTGATTTTTCATCTTCTAACCTCGGCCGGCCAGCATAAAACAACACTTAACTTTCACCTGCCATACCAGTACAACATTTTACCAATTAATGACTTACTGTAATATCTTCCGGTTCATTTTCCTCACTTAAATTAGGAATTTTAATTTTGCCTTTAATAATATCATCACCATCAGTCAAGGATCCATTCCAATCCATTGACATCTCCCACTCATAAAAGAAAATTAATTTTGCTTTACGATTGCTACAGACAAGAAAATATTGGAATACAAAACTTTAATTAAAATGCAATCAAAAACACAGACTGATTAAAAACAAAATATAAATTCAAATGTTTAACCCATTAGGCGAGACATTTTTATTCATTGGTTTACGGATCCGCCGACCATAAATATTCAGAAAGTGAAAAATTTTAAAAAAAAGTTGGATGTCAACAATTTTACGATTCTAAGTACTGCTGGCTCATGTTATCATTGTGACAATCAATATGGAGATTTATTAGATATTTCAATAGAGATTATTAAATTTGGTTCTTATCTATACTCAGTGTGTTTTTTAGGAATTTTTTTCCGACCTACCGACCTGTTTTTTTTTTAAATCAAATCCGCAAACCAATCAATAAAAAAAGTCTTGACTTAAGTTGCATTGCGCCCTACTTTATTATTTTACTCTGTCTAACACCAGATGATTTTACCCTACTCATTAACAGGATTACAGGAGTGCTGACACTCAACGGGTAACATCAGGCTATCTGCACATGTGTCTAGTTAACCCATTAAATTACATTGTGCCCTAGTGCACAATATTTTATTATTTTACTCTGTCTAACGCCAGACGATTTAACTCATCAATATGTGAGCACTGACACCCAATGGGTTAATTGTGATTAATTAAAGAAAATGCTAATGATTACTTTGCAGTTGCTTCTCCTTCTAGCTTAGTGACTTCTGTAATTTCACATTCACCTTAACAAAATGAGGGAGTCATCAGTATGGTAAGCAGGGTATGAAATTTGCAATATCCTGATATCCACAGGATACCAGATTTTAAATTTGGATACCGGACCTCACAAGCACATTATCCATTTTGATATTAATAAAAACAGGTTCCTTTACACAGAGATTTCTTTGTTTATATTTTGTCATATATGTGTTACTATTCACCGTGTCTGTGTTTGCATATTTTGCATACTCTTTTCCAGTGACTTTTCCAATTGAAAGTTTGCCTTAATTGTTTCAGTGTTTGGCGACTGCTTGCTAGGATATCTAGTACTCAACTGTGGGAAATTAGACTTTCTGGGTGGATACCAGATTCCAAATCACTAACTAGTATTCCATTGGATAATGCTGAAAACTTCAAATTTCAAGCTCTGTGGTAAGCATATAATATTTGGTGTGTACGTCATGTATACAAAGTAACATGGCCCTAGTTTTGTAACAAATTGTATGCAAAGTATTCCCCCAACCTCCTTCAAAGTTCATTTTCATCTTGGTAAATAATTCTTTGAGACGTCTTTTTGACCAAGGTGTTGCATTCTTCTCAGTCCTAAGCAAAACAACATAGAACAATAAGTAGTATCATCACCAAAACTGCAAATTGAGAAAATATCAAAACGGAGAAAGGTTAAAACATTCAGGAATGCACCACATTCCTAACATCATGAAATCAACATTGTGGGAATGGTGACATCTGATTGGTCCTCAAGACATTATACTGACATAGCTAAAAATAGTTTCACATTCTAACAATTACAGACGTGCAAAAACACATCTTATTTAGAAAATTGAAAATGAAATTATTAAAATTATTATTATATTAAAATGTCAGCATTCTAAAATGTGCCTGCAAAAATTCAAAAGGTGCCTGCCTCGCACATTGTAATGATGCCTGGCATTGCCTACACTACAATAGACATATATTCAAAAATTTTATTAAAGACCATGTAAAGTCCGTTCTGCACATATGTTCTGTGCAGGCATACATTCCAATGGTCGGGACCCGACCATTGGAATGTTACTAATATTTTGCATATTCCGAACTTTCTTGACTTGAATCTCTAGTCTGTATTCATTTACAAGCATAGCGAACCAGAAGAGTGTTAAAAATTCAGTATAATATATACCTAATCATATGTTACAACTGTAGCACTGAGTTCAAAATGTAAAAAAGCATTTGTTTACATATGGACTTTACATGGCCTTTGAATTAACTTGTTAGTATGTAATATCATTAAATTTAGTTAGTACGTGTTAACAATCCTAAAATTGACTATCACATGCAATCCAGCAGTACTCCCCAAAACCCACCAGTACAGAACACATGGGCAAAAATATGTCAGAAACATATATTTTGGGCAATTTGGCCAGTTTATAAATCACAGTCCAAAACACATACCAGTGCCAATTATTCACGTTTTTCGCATCCTCTCGTTCTTCTACTATCCATCTTGGATCTCCCTCTCCCCACTTAGCCATTCATACAAAAATATAAACACTTGTAAAACTCAAAAATTGTACCAGTATATTGCAGGTAAAAAGAAATAAAAAAAAAATTTATATATTGATTCTGATAATCTCTAAATGCATTATGGGAATTTTTCTGTACCCAGCCCGATTTGAAGGAGTGAAAATGTTGCGGACATAGTTGCGGGCATCACCCCATTTAATTGAGGATCAGAGATATTGAGGATTATCGCGATCGCTGGAAAAAATAACCAAGTTTTTCATCAGTAGTTTTGTTATCCACTTTATTTTTTCTGAAAATGTTTGATGGTTGTATGTCCCATAGGCATAGGTTCGGATGTATTACCAATAGACCTTTCCGGTAATTACGTCACGACTACACTGTTCTCAACTACACTGTTTTCAACTTAGAACCACCTTAAATGGAATGGATTTTAAGTTTATTTCTCACAGGCTATGGTCAGAGGAGCAGAACATCCTTCTTCAACACATTATTAATGTGAAAATAAGCTTAAACACGAAAACGAGGCTGAGGGGCCAGGCCCCTCCTCAATGGGCCCCTCAGGCGCCCCTTGGCGCCGTGGTTAAAGGTCCATACAGACCGGACGCGAATTGGCAACGCGACGCGAATTTTCAATCACATTTAAGTGATTTAACTTCAATATTTTTCTATGTTTTTCAAATATTCGGAACCTCTTCAGCGATTTTAGCTATTTGGTCTGCATATCTTGTAAAATTTTTAACCGTTCACAGTTTTATTTGTTTTTAAAAACTGAAAATTCGCGTCGCGTTGTCAAATCGCCTCCGATCTGTATGGACCTTAAGTTCTGGTTTTCTTCTGCGAAATCTTAGTAGGGACCAGTGGTCAGAGTTCACAAGAGCTAACTATAAATATGAGCATTGATTTCTGAACTTTCGCGATTGTTGTGTTCTTTAAGGCGCGTGAAAAGGCGGCAACGATCTGTTTCACCAATATACGAGCTTTGTCAACCAGGACAAGAAAACTGGTAAACTACGGAGCTTCGATACTCGGCACTCGGTGTTTTGACAGGAAAACTGGTAAACTACGGAGCTTCGATATTCACTCGGTGTTTTGTTTTTGCATGACAGAAAACAGTTGACTTGTGTAGTTTCCAGAGCAGAATAAACTTGCATGGACCTTTCAGCAAGCGCGCGGGTTTTGTTAATAAACCTTTTTGCCAAGGTGTTGCCGTAGTTACCAATGAATGGCAAACGTAGCTAGAGTTGATGTTGAAGCAACTGTTGATTGCTACCAGGGCGCTTATCATATATACAGGTCCAGGGCGCTGTGATTGCTACAGATTCTGTACGCGCGGTTCACGAGAGCTCTTATCTAAGCTGTTTTATAAAGTCGAATACTCAATATATATTCCTACCAACAAAAAGTTCCTGAAATACTTAGGGACTGGTCATGAATTGATACAGTGAAGGGGGGGTGAAAAGAGGGGGTCAGATATTTTTGTGCATGAAAAAAGGGGGGGGGCAAAAATATTTGTGCAATATAAATACCTGCCCCGCATGACCCCGTCGTACCATAAAACCTACAGATAAAAAAGTAGGGAGGAGTAGAGCTGTAGTAAACTCCAACACAACACCATTTATTAAACTGATTTCAACATAAACATATAGGGCATAGTTGCGTCTCACGGATCCACCATGTTATTTTACTAAAACCTCACAGTAAGCTCACAGCTTGTTACTGTTAATATCTCACGGATTCTCACAGATTTCGAAAATAACCCAACTGGTTCTTAAATATGTTGGCTTTATTGCACATTTTAACTATTTTAATAGTTTTAAAAAAAGTTTTATGTAATTTGACGCAGCGACTTCATTGCGTCAAATTACATAAAACTTTTTTCTTTTGAAAAAATTCACACCATTAAGCCAAAAATACATAATCAAAACAACACTTGGCATGCAACCTCGTACTCGTGGGTATTCAACAATATGGTTTTGTATATCTAAACTAGAAAATACATGCATGCAGAAACCCTCGCCTTGCTGACAAAACCATTGTATTTTCCGAACATGAAGTTCTATTAAGTAGTTGTCATGGTAACACGATAATTTTTTAAGAATATTCTTACAAATGAAAAATCGCCTAAAAATATCACTTTTAATTACAAAATTATTAGTTTCCCAACATAAATATATGTTAGGTATGTTTTTATACGTAATATAAGCCTCAATTTAAGGTAAAATTCAACCACAAATGCTTCGCAAAACGTTTTAAAGTCCGGTCACTAGTGTTCATTAGACAGATTTAGATCATAGATTTAGATCGAGGACGCGAACGTCAAAGACGACGTGAAAATGGCGTGTTGTGCCCATGTATGGATATGCCACGCCATTTTGACGCCATTTTCACGTCGTCTTTGACGTCCGCGTCCTCGATCTAAATCTGTCTATTATAAAACTAAACTGCCTTTTAAAATGGCTTTATCGATAAACTTTGAGTTAGCAATAAAATGATTTCAAATTCTGGCTTGCAAATAACTCAGTGCTTTCTTTTTTATTTAGAAATTCAATATCATAAAAAAGGGAATCAATATTAAAGATACACTAAAATTATATGCTGTTTGTTTAGTTGTTTCATATACGCAAAGGCCGTCGGGTTTTAAAGCCATTATATAATTAATCAATATTTAAAACAAACTTACCTTCGTTAACGTCGGCTCCCTTCTTTTAGACGATTCTTTCGCAGTTTCATTTTGAGAGAGCTTTTGAAATTTACAAAATCTTGCAAAAATGCGAGTAAAAATGAAATATATTTGCAAGAAATTTATCAATCATCAAATCAAGAAATGTTTGCTATTTCGCTGTCGTGATACATTCGTGCAAGTCGTTATAATGCAAAATTTAAATTGGACCAATCAGTGTCCGCTATTCATGACAGTCCGCCATATTTTTGAGATCAGTGAGGATGACCACCCATCGTTGGTCACCCACGCCCGCGATATTTGATGAACTTTAGACTCCGCTAATGCTTTCGTTTCCCCGGGTGTAAATAGCCGGGGGGAATTAGTACCACTGATTAGTACCCTCGCACGGCGCTTCGCGCCGTCGGCTCGGGGATAAAAGCTACCAAAAGTTGTGTGTGTAAGGTATAGAACACTCCGAAAATGCCATTTCCAACGATCTAGAGACTCCGTAGTATTTTCAAATTTTTTCTGATCGGGAACTATGGTGGCGCCTCGTCACACCCCATATAGGGATTCTCATAAGCACGCCTCGTATATGTACCGACATTCTGTCAAATGTGCTCATGAGCATGCATATGACCAAAGTGCATAATTTTCGTGTGCTTATGAGACACCCCATATTGGGATTCTCATAAGCACGCCCCGTATATGTACCAACATTCTGTCAAATGTGCTCATGAGCATGCTTATGACCAAAGTGCATAATTTTCGTGTGCTTATGAGACACCTCGTATTGAGATTCTCATAAGCACGCCCCGTATATGTACCAACATTCTGTCAAATGTGCTCATGAGCATGCTTATGACCAAAGTGCATAATTTTCGTGTGCTTATGAGACACCTCGTATTGAGATTCTCATAAGCACGCCCCGTATATGTACCAACATTCTGTCAAATGTGCTCATGAGCATGCTTATGACCAAAGTGCACAATTTTCGTGTGCTTATGAGACACCCCATATAGGGATTCTCATAAGCACGCCTCGTATATGTACCTACATTCTGTCAAATGTGCTCATGAGCATGCATATGACCAAAGTGCATAATTTTCGTGTGCTTATGAGACACCCCATATTGGGATTCTCATAAGCACGCCCCGTATATGTACCAACATTTTGTCAAATGTGCTCATGAGCATGCTTATGACCAAAGTGCATAATTTTCGTGTGCTTATGAGACACCTCGTATTGAGATTCTCATAAGCACGCCCCGTATATGTACCAACATTCTGTCAAATGTGCTCATGAGCATGCTTATGACCAAAGTGCACAATTTTCGTGTGCTTATGAGCAGTGGCGGCGCCAGGCTTCCAAATTTGGGGGGGCATTTGAGGGGCAAACACGAATTTTGGGGGGGAAAGATAGAATTTTTAAAAAGGTCGCCCCCCCTGGATATTCGCCCCCCCCCCCTCAAAACGTGGCGATATTCCTAGGAATATCGCCTCCCAGGGGGGTGGGGCGAATACCCTAGGAATATCGCCCCTCTTTAGGACATTCGCCCTCCATATATGCGATGTGGTTTATTCAAATAATTTCGTGATACTTTCATCTTATTATTGCCTTACACGTTTGAGAATTTAACTCTGCAAAACTAAAGCTTTTTTGTCTTTTTTTGAAACGTATTATTGGAGTATTGGCAAGTTTTACCATTCATGTATACGCGCATTCACTAATGAGTAATGACAACTTATAAGCCATACATTTTCCGATAACGACAGAACGCTTGTGTAGCCTTTAGTCGCTCTTAGTGACTAATAATTTTTTTTGAGGGGGGGCAAAATGGGGGGGCAA